CCTAGAATTCCCCAGTCAGCCATGCTGGCTGAGGAATTCTGGGAGTTGAAGTCCACCCGTCTTAAAGTTGCCAAGGTTGAGAAACACTGTTCTCCTCAATACTGATGCCTCTTTTGTTTTGGAAACCTGTGGTTGTTTTCAAAATACCATAATTGCCCCGTAGGCAAGACTTAATGAATACACCCCGTTGTGCATGGCCTAGTACTGTCATCAGCGCTCAACATTATAATTGCAGTATAAATAGGCAGGAAGTTGGAAAGTTCCCATGGTGTTAATTTGTGCTTAAAGCCTGAGCATGTACAACAAGCTGTGTGCAGCACAGTAAACGTTACCTAAAATATAGGGGGCTTTAAAGAAATGTAAATTCAGCTTTGTGCTATCCAGGAATGCCAGTGGAATCTAATGCGTTCATTTCCCAATGAATTAGCAGTTTTAGTTTTCTTTGCATTCATACTGTTGGGAATTGGAGTATTCTGTAAGTACTGTGACCCTTCCTAAGAGCAGGAATTTGATGTGAGTAATCACTGGTGAAGTAGGATGTGTAAACTAACAGAAAAGAGATTTAGTTACCAGAAATGCATTATAGGGGTGGGCAAAGCCTAGCACCTAGCTAAGTACATCCTATCAGAAGGAGATTCAGAGAGTCAATGCATGTGAACCAGCGAAGAAAGCAGTTTTGTAAAACAAAGCAGGACTGTGATAGACAAAGAGGAGACACAGTAAATCCTTAATTCTCTATCTACATCCACTGCCCCCTTGTGATCATGAGGTGCTGAAGTGCTATTGGATTCACATGTCCAACAGATACTGGCATGTTAGGGTTTTTGTTTTTTAGGAATGTGTATGCATATAATGCAGTAACTCCATGGGTAACAGCATAGGAACATAGGTTTTAAAATAATTATTGTTCTATAAGCATATAGAAGTGCAATGAAAAATAATTTCTTTAGGATTTTTTTTTCCTATCTGCAAATCCCTTCCCAGATCCCTTGAAGTCTGAGGAGGAGATAATGGAAAACTGCTTCTCTAACATCTTTAAAACTACTCCCATTGACTATATAGCAGCAGCATCCTTTCCTAATGGTGGGAAATCTCAGAAATTCAAAAAGTCACCATAAAAATAGAGTAAAACTGAATAAAAAGAACAGTTCTGTTGGGAAAATGAGTTTGGGTATGTGATGTGCAAGTGAAGCAGACATTACAGTAGAAAAATCAAATATTAATGTGGATTGGCCTTTGGTTGCTTATTCTATGAGAGACATATTCTACTTTTCCTCTGAGGAAGATGTGGGAGCGTACGGTATAGGATACTTCGAGATCTCCTCCTTTGTTAGGTCTGACCAAACCCAGACCCACTTAACGAGATTACTTTCAGATGAGATCTTATGCCACTTTGGGATAATTAATAAACTGAATTAAGTGTTCAAATGCTCAAATTGTGATAAGGTCAACTTTCTTGTCCACAGCTACAAAAACAAGAAATACGTTTGTAGAATTTTAACAGCTTCATGTCAGCAAGTATATATCTAACAAAGAAAACAGAAGAGGACTTAACAATATTAATTTAAACTTGGTTCCTGCATCCCCATTTTCCTCTAAAAGATCCCTCTAAAACTAAAAAGATATACACCTTTATGTTTTAAAATTGGCAAAACACAGATTTCTTTTTGATCAAAACTTTTATTAAGGTATATAAAAAGTACAATTAAAATACAAATCAGAAAATATAGAAAAGAGAGAAGATAGAACTAAAAGAAGATAAAAACTAAAAAAGTAGGATCAAATAGAAAGATTAAAAAAGAAGTGACTTCCGACTATCTCCAATACAGATATAAGTTCAAAAAAAGTTAATCTCTTACCACTATTTAATCCTAATTCACATTATTTCTATCAACACAAACCATCTAATCATTTTATTAAGGTATATAAAAAGTACAATTAAAATACAAATCAGAAAATATAGAAAAGAGAGAAGATAGAACTAAAAGAAGATAAAAACTAAAAAAGTAGGATCAAATAGAAAGATTAAAAAAGAAGTGACTTCCGACTATCTCCAATACAGATATAAGTTCAAAAAAAGTTAATCTCTTACCACTATTTAATCCTAATTCACATTATTTCTATCAACACAAACTATATAATCATTAAATCCCACA